GGCCGCCGGCTACAACTACAGCTACAGCGCGGGGGTGCTGGTCGGCAACTGGAACGAGGACGTGTGTCTGGAGGAGGTATCGGAGCCGGCCCCGGGGCAGAGCGGGGAGAGCAGCGGGCTGCTGCAGAGGGAGGGGCCCAGCCCGGGCGCAGCTGCACTGAAGCTGGGGCAGGAACTGGGAGGCGGGGGCAGGGAAGTGGGATGGGGGGTAGCTTCCAAACGGTCTTTCCCCAAAACATGGGAGCCTTGTTGAACCTGCCAGAGCCCCACTTACTCTCCCACTCTGTGTGGCAACAGGGCCTCCTGAAAGACTTTCTGCACAAGAGGGAGCGAGGAGAGCTTCTCATCCAGAAGTCACGGAGCCTGAAAAATAACCTGCTGAAGAAGGTAACGGTTTCTCCGAGCTGGACCGCAAACACAACAGACACGTACAGCGCGACTCAAACCTTAACCTATGCTAACCCCCCACCCCTCTTTGTTGCCTGTGTATTGCTCTGGGACAGTCACCCCCCCACACGGCTCCCGTTTGGTGCTTTGGGACAAACGTGACTTCCCTGCATCTCGGTTAAGTGAATACAGGCAGTCCTACGACTTGCAACACAATTGGTTCCTGAAAACCACATCTTAAGTTGAAACGTCGTAACTCAGAACCAATTTTCTCATAAAAAACAATGTTATAAATGGGGGATTGGTTCCTGAACCAAGGCCCGATACCCTATTTTCACTAAAAATACCCCCAGAATTTTGTACTGGATCAATTATAGATGAGTAATATAGCTACATTAATGTATTTATATTGTAAATAGCAATCATATTGATTTGGAAGGACTTCTTTGAGGTGACTTTGCTGGACTTGTTGAAGGGTTCTTGGTTGGAGTCTTCTCAGGAGTCCTGGCTGCAGGTTTTTCTGGAGTCTCGTCTGCTTTCGTAAAGAAAGTGTCCAAGGAAGTTTGGACAGATGTTCTCCAGGGAGATGAGCGTTGCAGCGACCTTGTTCGCTGGCATCGCATCGCATCGCATCGCATCGCATCGGATCAAGCGTTATAAAGTCAAAACTGACATCATAAAGTTGAAACAGCGTGTCGATTTATAAACGTTGTAAGTGCAAAACGTTGTAACTCCAAACGTTGTAAGTCGAGGACTGCCTGTACACTGCTTATGGGCAGAGCATCTTTCAGCAGCGCTGCCTGTTTTGTCATTCCACTGAACTCCAGTTCAGGGAACAGGAGTTCCCTGTTTCCTTTGGAAGGAATTGTTTTCCATGTCATATTTTCATAGACATTAGAGTTAGAGGCTGATTGTTTCTGAAGCAGCTAAAGGGAAGCTGCTGTGCACGGGCTGCTCTGGGAAGTCTTGAAGGTAACAGGATCTAGTCACCCCAGGGTTTCTCTCCCATTATTTTCAAGGCTTCTAAGGATGCTATTACAAGCCTTTGAAAATGAAGGGAGCGGATTAGTTTCAGGACTGCTCATACTGAAGAACTGAGGGAGCTGTAACTTCTGTTTACTGAACACTGTGTGCCATCAGCAGTGTGCTATTAAGAGCTGTGTTAGAAGAAAGGAGGGTTATTTATTTATTTTGTTTGTGGGAGAGAGGATAGTATCTCTTATTGAAGCAACTGGATAATTGGGAGAGGTATTACACATGTTTTCAAGCCAAGTGCCCTTCCTCAGGTCTGGGAAAGAAGCAGAGATCACCAAAGCTAAATACCAGCTAATACAATGCCTTTTGTTTCAGTTAGTTTCAGGACTTCTATTATTTTTCAAGGTTTCTAATAGCAGTCCCAAACTAACTGTTAGAAGCTTTAAAAATGAGGGGAGCTAGTCAGTTTGAGGGCCACTAATACCACAGCACCAACACTGAATACTCAGCTGTTTACAGTAAGTGTGTCTAAGTGCATAATACAAAGGCTAAAAACACAGTAGTCCCAATACAATGTACTTCATTTAAGTGTGTAGCTTTGGGACTGAAAAAAGGCTATGCAGTTGAATGGAGTATGGTGTATTGGGACTACTGTGGTTTGTTTCTGAAATTCTTTTAACACTCAGAGCAGAAGGTCAGTCTTTTTAATCAAATCGTTTTATACTGAAATATGCATATCTTAAATTAGATCCCGCTATCCATTTCTAAGGATGGATTTGTTCACTTTGGAGACACTGTGATGCTTGTGAACCCTGATAACAACAAATCACCTATGGAGAATTACCCTGCAGTGTGTGGCAATCTATCTCTGGCAGTGCTTCCAGATGAAGTAGCAGTGCATACGGCCGATTCATTACAAGCCTCCTGTGGAGTGAGCGCCATCAAAAGCATGAACCCTGTTGGTCGAAATACATTTCGTATCTTAAGGTTTGGTGTTTTGATTTGATTAGGGGTTAAATCTTTGCAATAAGAGTTTAGATCTCATTTTGTGAGGTAGGCAATGAAGTTTGGTGAGATTTAAATTACCATATAGAGTAATATTCTGCTTATTTCAGATAGATGACTTAACTTTTATTACTCAGCTATGCTTCTATACCACATGAACCAGTAATTCCAATGAAGTCATCAAATTACAATCAGTGTAAAACTGGTGTGAGAGTTGAATCAGGCTCACTTCATTTATTTTTACTGAACTATCAAATAGCTTTAGATTCAGTAAATGCCCAGCTCTTTATTACTACAGAGCCAAACATCAGTTGTCAAAACATTTCCAAATATCCAATAGTAATCTCATAAGTACATTCTAAGCATTAGTTATTTTTTCTGATCACAATTTTGCATATAAAGACGCTGACACATGATTGTTAAATCTTACATCTTTCCTGCTTATGCGCAGGCACACAAAAGAATGCGCACAGGGCCACTCTGTCACCGAACATACACAATGTAGACTATTATCTTTTCATAGTTCCTGAAAATGTTACAGATGATGATGGCACACTTAGATTGGAAACTGTTTAGGATAGAGAGACTGCCTTTTTGCTAAGAACAAGCATAGAAGGGTTGTAACCCATGACTAGGCTGCAAAGCAATACCTACATGCATATATTTAACAAGAACAGCAATAGCTAATATTATAACCTGTTCTCCACAAGCTTAATTCAGCAAAGTCCAATGGACTTAGGCAAAATTTAGGTACCTTTATTCTAAACCTGTGATTCAAAAAGTCCATGGTCAGCTGTTGCCTATCCTTAGAGGTTCCAATACTTGATAGGCACTTCATTCTAACCCCATGTGCCTAGAGTTGTGCCTCTAGGTAGCCAATCACACCACAGACAGAGATGTTGAGGTTGGTCAGTATAGCTGTATTGCCCCATTTCCAGATCTGCTATGAGCAAGGAGGAGTGGTGTAGACATAACCTAAGAAAATTAAGTGTTGTCCTCCTACTGGTATTTAAACATCCTACCTCCTCTATGCTTTTTCAAAAATCACAGCCTGAACTGATGTCTTTAAAAAAAAATCCAATATTTCCTAATATATTTCACAGCAATAATCTTAATAAGGCTCACCTATAAGAAAAATAGTTCTAAGCATAAAAAAGAATCACTGCAGATTTCATATTTATTTTTCCCCGCCTCTGTTTTAATAGCGTGGAAGGAAATTCAATGGGTGAACCCATTAGATTTGGACAGAATTTTGGTCTGGGAGCAACAGGGGGTTTTGCAGATCAAATGGTAAGTCAGAACACATGTAGACTACAACTGGAGAACGTGTCTGTATTGTAAAATTCAGTTACCGTAGAGATTCTGTGCACTGTTTCTTCCTGCAAGAATATATGCAGCAGTTATACTAAAAATGAATTGTGCTGAACCTGCAGCAATCTGTGCTGAAAAGAAATAATCTATATGTAGTACGTCACTCAAAATTATTATAGTGCACACACATTGGCCAGATATCCCAGGTTTGCAGAACAGACCTCAGGTCAGATTTTAATTTAGATTACGCCATCATAATTGCAGAGCAACTTCAGTGAAAACTGCACCAGTATAATTGTGATAAGAATCTGGTCTCTTTTCTTGAGCAGTAAGAGTGACTGCCATTTTGTCATTGCGTAGCATCCCAAAAATCTGCAGCACAGCAGCACCTCTCACAACAATTAAACCATCTGCTTTCATCCTACCAACATCAGAGCTCTTCACAAGGGAAGTGAAGTTCTTTTCCTGCATGCTGAACAAAAAGAAGCACACTACACAAATACTTGAAGCAGTCTCTGGTTGGGAGCTGAGGGCCAGATCTTCAGCCCATCTTAACTTCCCTTTTTACACTACTCCTTAAACAAGCAGCAAGGAATTTCTTTGTAGAAAACACAGGTGGAAAAACCATCCCATCCTTTAATCCAAAATATTCTGTTTAGAGATTTTGCACTTTGTAAGGTTATGCCTCTTCAACACATGCATCTTTTACCCACATAATGTCAGTTAACTTATTTTTAATATTGCCCAGGCAGCATAAAATGTTATGAACTGTATCTGGTGGACTATTTCCGCCTTGCCTATGTACATTTTCTACTTGCATAGAAGGTGCCATATACAGTGTTAGCCACATAAGATACCTATGGGTAAGGTGGAAGATACAAGCCATGAAAAGGGTACTAGCTATTTACCAAACTACACTGATTTCAGTATAATAGGCTCAGTTGAAAGGGATGTTAATAGGGCTGTGCAAGGCTTTGGACAGAGTTTAGGATCTGGAGAAGCTTTGGACACTTTGGGGTCTGAAGCAGCACATCTGGGTTGAAGCGCTGGCATCGTTCGGCTTCCCGAAGCGGTTCGGAGCTTCCGAAGAGCTTCAGATCTGCCTTGGAGCCGCCTCGGAGATCCGGCCATAGAGTATAATGGGGAAAACAATAAAATATCTGTAACTTTGTTGTTTTTTTGTCTGATTTGGATGAAATTTTCAGGAGTGGTAGACTGCAGAGAGCATGGAGCCTGCCAAGTTTCAAGACGATCGGTGCAGGGATTTGGGGGTAACAGCACTCCAAATTATTGAAAGCAAAACTCCTGTCACCACATCTGCCAGCTGTGGAGGAGATCGTTGCAGGGGGGTCTGGGGCCCTGCACCCCTAGCTGCTGACAGGCAAAACGGTGCCAAGACTGTGTCTGTCTTGGGGCAGTTGATTGTCTGTATTGATGCTTTCTTCTCCTTAGCCTGGTTTTGTAGGTGCTAATTGATGCTCATTAAGTCGTTATGTAGTAGCTAGGTCCTGTGTATTGAGCTGGTCCCTGAGTGAATCATGATTGATTGTTAAGTGGCAACATAGCAGCTTAGCAGCCAGGCCTGCAGCAGTGTCTCCCCTCCCCACCCCAAGCCAGAGACAGTCCCACAAGCGTCCATGGCAGGAGTTTTGCTTGTCGGCAGCTTGAGAGGCACTTCCCCACCAAACCCCTGCACCGATCTTCTTGAAACTTGGCAGGCTTTGTGGCTTCAGTAAGAGCTACCAGCCGTGCAGTTTTGACCCCCCTGTGTTGTAACACAGACGTGACAGGAGTTTTGCTTTCAGTATTTTGGGGTACAGTTGCCCCAAAACCCCTGCACCGATCTTCTTGAAACTTGGCAGGCTTTGTGGCCTCAGTAAGAGTTACCACCCCTGTAGTTTTCACCCTGCTATGTTGTAACGCCTAGACATGACAGTTTTGCTTTCGAGAATTTGGGGTGTTGTTACCCCCAAATCCCTCCACCGATCATCTTGAAACTTGGCAGGTTTCATGCTCTCAGCAGAGGCTACCGTCCCTACAAGTTTCATCCAAATCAGACAAAAAACAACGAAGTTATAGATATTTCATTGATTCTCCATTATACCTTATAGCCGGATCTCCGAGGCGGCTCGGAAGCTTTGGAGCCGCTTCAGTCGGATCGAGGCGGAAACCCGGTCCGGAGCTCCGGATCGGATCACAGCCATCCGAAGCGGCCGGATCGGATTGCTGTCGATTAACCTGTCTGCTAATCCATATGGGAACAGTCCCCTTTCACCTGTTCCCACTCATTAAATCCAGTTACCTTGCAACTCGGAGTCCAGCTGTTTGCTTCATTGCTTAAAAACCACAACACTGATAGAGTTGAGATGGCCTAGAAGGGGTATCTGCTGGTCTTGCATGTTGTGGGTAATTTTTTGAATATCAAAGGAGTCCACTGTATGTGGCTTAGACTGTGTCCAAATCACACTCCTCTTTACAAGTAAACAGTCTGAGGCACTTAGAAATTGTTTTCCTGACCAATATTTGCCTGCATTTCTGATCATCACTGGTCTGAAACATGAGGCCTGTTTAAAAGACCTAAGGCAAATTTGCAGGGACCCAGAGGGTTTTCTTATTTGAAAGACAGAGCTTTTTACAAAATGGGCATTTTAAATGTCTCATTAATCACCACAGTCCATTACCACCAGAAAACAGATGTTTTGAATTCTTCCCTTAAGTGAAGGAAAGGTTTTATAATGAGAGGATCCAGATTCTTTGAAAGAAAGTCTGTATTCTTTAAAACTAAGTATATTGTTAGTCTATCAGTCAGAGTCAGGGAGAAGGATGCTAGCACATTTTAACATTGTGTTTGCTCACAAGTTAGGAACACAGAAACCAATGCAAAGTACACATATGCCTTTGACAAAATACAATCACCACAGATGCTATGGGTAGATTCCTACCCCTCTCCCTCTACCCCTACTTCCCCCATCCAAAACCTTGTTTGTGTTACAGAGAATCTTTTAAATACAGATTTGCCTACTGATTATGCTTTTGTATTCACCAGTTCTGTTTGACTACAACATGACCAATCCACACATTGTTTAGCTGGAAGAACTCTAAATTGGGATTTTGGGCTACTTAATGGGTATTTGACTGACTTTCCACAAGCAATGAGTCTATCTGTGCTGTTGTAAAGACGCTTCTTTTTTACAATTGCAGTACATGCTGGGGATAATCCAGCATCCATTCAATAACTGGAAGTTTGAATAGGCCCATTAAGAGCAAAAGCACATATTTCTACAATAAAGATACAATACTACTTTTAGAATATAAAAGGTAACCCTTAATGGCATATATTATTTTTACAACTTTTCATGTACTTTTTGCTTGCATTTAGATTCTGTGCTCCAGAAAAATAATTTTGTAAGAAATTTTTGAGAACTACATGAGCGATTTTTTTAAAGTTATATTTTAACAATGTGACATTATTGATAAATGTGAAATATTGTTTCTGGTTATCTTTTAAATTACAAGTTTCATTCACTTAAACTTACGTTGCCATTAACTTTCATTTCCATTTATAGTTATATCTAGGAAGTGACCATAAATCATTTATGAGGTTTGCTAAAAAATCATACCTTCAGCAAGTGTTTTTGACAGATGAACTCTCTTACCTGACTTGTTGGCAAGCTACCTTTTTGGATCCACAGCTGCGCTTAGAATATGAAGGATTTCCTGTTCCTGTAAGAAATGATAAATAATTCATATTATGAGGGTTTAATTAAGCTAATAAAACAAGCAGTTTAAAGAAACTACAGTGAATTTATTCATTATAGCACTTTCAGAGTTGCATGGTGAGAAGCATTTTTTTTTATATATAAACTATGAATTGTAGGTTTTTGAGGGGGATCAGTCTTTTGTTAGATCAGTTATATATAATAGTTAGAGCAGGGAATTGGGATCCAGAACTCTTGGCTTTGAGGTTCAATTCCCAAGTGATTTCAGAGGAATTATTCTGTCCAGAATTTTCAAAAGCACCCCCTCATTTTTGGTAACTTAGGTTTTGGGAATTGACTTGCACGAGCATCTAAATTACAGGTATACTGAGTACTCAACTCTATTGCTGTTAAGAACAGCTGTGGGTTCTTAGGAGTTTTCACAGTTAGACCCCAAAAGGTTCCAGCAATCCAGGCAGCCAGTATCAGTAGCCACTTTGAAAACTTGGCTGTTCACTCAGTGAATGTCTTGTATGGGCACAGTACTTAGCTATCACACACAGTTGCTGGAAGTCAACTTAATATTTTTAAACTGCTTTGAGATCCTTTGGTCAAAGTTCCTAGGGTCACTAAGATCCCTTGGTGTAAGTGCAAAGCAATATTATTCTATTACAAAAAGAACCATTCTGCTGCCAACTTTTAATCCACACACTTGATTTTTTTCAAAACAAATATCCCATTTTCAGGGCTGTTTTAAACAGGTTAATTTAAAGTTAATCTTGTTCTGTTTTAAAAAAAATACTAAAATGCTCATTATAAATATATAATAATACTTTAAAAATCTATTTATGAAAATGCAAAGGCCTCAGTTCTGGATTGTGCTTCAAGCCAGCTGGAGCACTCCACCAACAAGCACCCAGTATAAGAGCATATGACCAACAGAACAGCCCTCCTTGGCTTATTTTTATGGTCCCCGCCATGGGGGTGTGGCCAGGAACAGAAGCAGTGTATTGGAGGATGGAGGACGTATGGCCCAAGTGCTTTGCATTCAGCTGTTCTGGGCTAGCAGACACATGCAGTTAAGGCATAAAATAATTAATGTTCACAGTCCTTGGAAACTTCAAAATCAATGAGGTACAAAACAGCCCCGAGTCAGAAGCTTTTGTTTTTAACAGATTTAGATTCAGTAAATAAAAAGTTAACTTTAATGGCAGAAAGTATTCAACAGTCATCTTTAAACTATTAAATGAATTTTCTTGGGGTTTTTCCCCCCCAGGCAAACAGTAAACTCCTTATCACCCACTGCCATACAAATCGGGGCTTAGCTGTGCCTAGGAACTATTGGATAAGGTAAGTGTGGTTTATGGAAACATAAATTTTAGGGGTGTTTTTTTTAATCATGACATGATGATACACAAGTTCAGTATATAAAGAATTAAAGTAAACAGTGAGACAACTGCACTGGGTACACAGTTAGCTGGAAAATAGAAAGGACTGCAAAACCTTTTTCCTTCCTCTCCCAATCACATGCACATACACACCATCCCTCCTTGTCATTGTTAAACTGTAACTTATTGTTGTTCTGTGTCTTTAATCTATTAGCGCAATCTTTTTCACATATTTCCTTTAATAGTTTCAACTCACCATCACATTTCCAAACTTTCCAGATTGTGGATGGTTCAGCTTTTCCTTTGACATACTGACCAACTGTAGCCATGGGAAGATCTAGGATACTGAAAAGAGGGGGTACAGATGGTGTGGCACCACATTATAACACAAAACATATTTTTCTCCAGTTAAACTAGAAGCTTTACTAATAAACTAAGAGGCTAGCATTATATTATTCAGTTTAAGATCAAAGCAGAAATAAATATAACTATTAAAATGTGCAATAACTTGCTAGAGTATATATTACATTTTTAAAAACACAACAAACTACGTGAAAAATACTCAGAAGTTATTTTGTCATTAGGTTTGTAATTATTATAGTTAAATGTACATTTCTTATTCAGATTCATTAAACAAAAGTTAGCCTTCTTGAGCATTTTGACAGTGCCTCTAGTCTAGTACTTCACTGTCAACCATTTCTACACCTGAGCTGATATTACCACACCTGAGTAAAAGTTTTTAGCTAGAACACAAAAGTGTTTGCAGGTCTGTGAAATGGGAGAGACATTACCAGAAAAGGGTAACAGACAGCAATATTAAAGAATAAAGGATAGTTTGAATAGTGGAATATCAAGACTATTAAAAAGAATAGAGGGTCATTAACACCTGTGGAGTGGAGAGAGATTAGCAGGAATCAGGGAGATGATGATAAACTATGAAGTCAATTCCCCTTAAGGGGGCAATCCTCCAGGCCCAAAGGATAACAGTCCCTGAGAGAAGGAAGGTGGGTAAGAGTGCTCAGAAACCCCCTTGGCTCAGCAAGGGCATACAGGAATG